TAGCTGTAGGTAGATGATATGTCTCATTAGCAGCTAATTGTCGAGCTAATCATTGTGTATTTTGAAAATTTCTAAATTTTTCTAGTTGAAGATATGCCCATACAGGCCAATAATGATGTAATCTAAATCGAGAATCTATAGAAAGCAAACGATGTTTAATATATTTTCCAAAAGTATCATGTCGTTGATGTATATTTTCTAAATTATTTCTTATTTCATAATAATGATCATGTCCATCTGGATATAAATCAGGAAAGAGCAATGGTTCAAGATTAGGGTCATTTAAAGCTATTGGTATTTTATTTAAATTGGTATTTGAAATAAATCCAACCATTAAATGACTATAGTAGGCATCTTCATTAGGAAAAGTTTGATGAGGAACTACTATATCACCATGTTGATATGGAGGTGCATTTTCATCAGTAGATAAATGAGTAGCTAAAAAAAATTGAATATTCGTATTTGAGATTAATTGTGAATATTGATGTAAATAAGGATTATTTTCTTTAAGCCAATTAACTGCAACTGATATAGAAGTATCAAACCAAGGAGGTGATACAGATTAATTAACTATTTGTGAATCCAAATAGGCTCCTAATATTTCAGAATAAAGACTAAGTGAATGAAAATTTTGAGAATAATTAACAGTACCTACTAATGATCTATATTCAGAAAAGGGATTAGTTCTGGGTATACAACCCAAAGAACAATGTAAAAAAATAGGAGATAAATATTTTCGTTTTTCTAAAGATACTAAATTTATTTCTGATGGAATTTGATGAAGATATGGTGGATAGTTACGATCTGTATTAGCTTTACACAAAGAACATAATGGAATACGATTAGCAGGTGGATTTGGGTTAGTAACTAATTGGATATTTGGATATGCAACAGTAAGTGGATATTTTTCTAGGTACATAAGTTTTGAACATATAGAACAGAGTATACACAAAAATTGTGTTAGGATATCATTATCAAATTTATATATAAGTTGCCACATGTTTTCAGATATAGACCACAGCAAAATATATGAATGAGAAGGTATATTGGTTGGAAGATCAGTCTGTTGATTACTATGATTTAAGTTAATAACTTGTTCTCCTATCGCAAATTCCAAGAGTTCTATATCGAGAACTTGATGTATATAAAATGACATATTAATTTATACAAAGTTGACTTTAAAAGAGCTTGATTAAGTATCAATGTTTAGTTATAATAATGATAAAATAAAGAACATATATATGGTGAAATACGTAGAATAAGCATTCAATACAATGATAAAATAAAGAACATATTTATAGGAAAATATGTAAAATAAGCATTCAATATAATGATAAATATTTAAATATTTTATTTAGTATCTAGAGTATATTAAATTTATTATTTATATATATTGTTTACTTATATTTATTATAAATAAAATAATATAAATCAAGTTCGAAAGCAGGCTCTTTATATATTTACATTTTTTAAAGTTATTTATTTGATTCTCTCACTAATAAATTATTTATACTAAATACTTATAGCTACATTTAATTATGATATATTTATAGATGCAAATTACTAATTCTTCCCGACGATCACTTGTACCAAGTTTTCTCTAAAAACAATTGCATTTTTCTCAATATTTTACTAAGTAAACCTA